AAGGGTCATTGTATGCAGTGGTGCTCATTGAAACATGGGTACTGTTGGTGATAGACTGGTGTACAAGCAGTGACTTCTGTGTTGGAGTACTGCTTTTGTTTGGGTAGGGCTTGTCATCTCTTTGGTGAAAATTTGTCAGTAATTACGATCTGTATACAAGAGAAGCATGTTTAATCATGTGAAGGAACTGAGCAGCTCTATGGATCTATGCATGTAACATGGATACTATGGCTGCCAGGGTTGTACTTTTATTTACATGGCTATTACTGTATGGGGTGTTGCATGTTTTTCTTATGCTATAGCTCTCTCTTCATGATTCTAGTCACTAACAATAACCTATAGGGTGCAGCTTGGCAGAGGTTGTAGGTCTAAACTTGCACAGGGTTGCACGTTTAGGGCTCAGTCCTATGGTTTCCTAACATCATCTGGGGGTAGCTGGAATAGGATCTCAAAATGGATGAAAACCATTTTGGCTAATAGGCAGGATAGAACTCAAGCAAGCAAGCAATAGAATTATTCAGGATGCCAGCCCTGAGGTCCTTTGATCATGGAGCTGGGACTCAAAGCACAGAACTCCATCCTCACAGCTAGCATGGATAAAAGCTGGTTTCTGACCTTGGAGTGGGCTAAAAGGGTTTGCCAGCAGGGAGGAAGCTGTGGCTGATGGGTTGGGCCATACCCAGATAGTGTCCCAGCCTCCTTCCCTGAGCTCAGCTGCACTTCATCTAGATGAAATGCAGCATGGTGGAGATTGCCACTGCTGTACCTTGCACATGGCACTGGAAGCATGGAAACCTCTGCTCGGAAGTTTTTATTTATTTATTTATTTTTCTATTTATATCCTGCCTTTTCCTACAAAGGGCTCAAGGCAGCTTACATCATTCTCCTTCTCCATCTTATCCCCACAACAACAACCCTGTGAGGTAGGTTGGGCTGAGAGCACACAGGACATCGGAGAATGCCTTAGCTGCTTATTTTACTCAGAGCAGAACAGCAGCTTAGAATTTGTGACACATACCTAACACTTTTATTGTCCGAAAAAGAAAGCCAGATATTAATATAATACAGGACAAGTAAAACACAGTATGACTTTTACAAGCCCACACTTAACGCAAAAGAACAAGTTTTCCCTGGTTTTAAGATACTCATATATCATGTTGAATTGTGATTCAATGTATGTCCACACATCTATACACATGACCCAAGAAAAGTTTAATGAATCCTAGAAAGGATACTGCAAAAGGAAAAAGTAAAAAAGTGCTTTCCGAATGTTTGTTTCAAAGTGCTTTATGTTTTGTAGTACAACATCTTCTCTACATCTTTTACATTTATTTTACATGCTCTGTGATGTGAGTTGTGATGATCTTTTACAAATGTTGGCAATCTGAAATGAGCTTAACAATCTCTGACATATACTAAGAATACAAGCCCTTGTTTAACATGGACTACTTCCAGGTCTCGTATGTATATTCCTTTAGTTGCAATCAATCTGGAACTTGGTTTGTTTGTAAATTACAGTCTGGTCAGAACTAGTAATACAAGCAAACACTGAATACAAATATAAGACGCTGAGATGATGTCATGTTATATTATCTAGGGATAGGGAATGTTTAGCCCTGCAGATGTTGTTAAAGTGTACCTCTGACTATGCTGGTGAGAGCTGATGGAATTTGCAATCTAGCAACATGTTCCTTCTGTGTGCACTATAACATCTGAAAGACACTTCAGCTAGCTGTGTATTTAACAGAACTAATGTTTCTCCAGTATCTAAATGCAATGGCTTGGATCCTAAGTTATCTTACAGTGCTTAGTCAAATGTTAACTCCATTGAGTTCAATGGGGCATATTCTCAGAGTATGTAGGTATATTATCATCTCAGGATATATGTGGCATGACTGGGGTAGGTGGAGAACCCAGCAAGACATAGTAGGGCCAAAGGTGAAGCTTGAGTCAGGAGTAGGCAAGGGTCAGGTGTGTGGCAAGGCACAGCAAGCAACAGTCAAGGCGCAAGTGGAGACATTACAGGACTGGAGACGGAAGCAGGGTCAGAAACAGAGCAGCTGCCACAAAAATTCCTGGTATTAAAATAAAGCTGGACCGCACGGAAAAGCCTTTTATAGAATCCCAGTGGATCTGTATGATCACACTGTTCCCTATCCTGTAAACACCTACAGATCTGAGAATAATCCTGCAAATACTTGTAAGGTGGACCAGGATGCCTTCTATATTATTTTATTGATTAATTAATTCTATTTATATCTTGCCCTTTTTTCCTTTCAAGGAGCTCTAAGCAGCTTACATAATTTTCCTCTTCCTGCCCTCAATCTTATTCCCACAACAACAACCCTGTGAGGTAGGTTGGGCTGAGAGTCTGTGACTGGCCCACAGTTACCCAGTTGGCTGCATGGCTGAGCAGGGCCTACAACCCAAGTCACCTGACTCCCAGTCCTGCGCTACTAACCACTACAGCACACTGGATCACTCGGTATTCTGAGAGTGTATCCATGCATTCAGCCTTCAAGAAGTTCATGTAGCTTCCCCTACCCAACCCCCAGCAACTCTACCAAACACTGTCTAGGAGGACTCCCTGATTCTCTGGAAAAGCTTTGTGGGGGAAGCAGGTGGCTACATGTTGTGGGGATGGAAAGCATCTTTGTGGACATCACTAATTTGACACTTTATGATCCATGCCTATGATTTCATGTATATAATATATTCAGGAAATGATGCTAAAAGGCAGTAAAAGAATGGGCTTGTAGCTCCATAACATAGCAAGCCATGCCTTCCAAACTCCCATTTTTGAATAGTTCTTAAATGTTCAGAGGATGTTTCCCCTACCACATTTGGTTGCTCTGTGTGAAAAAAAGCCTTATGGGACAAAGAACCAACCACCTACATAAATTGACTTAATTTCAACCAAAACAGCATTTTTAAAAGATGATTTTTTAAAAGAATGTGTGTTAGGCAAAACCTGCAAAACTTCATATAGTACAATTGTATGTGTGAAAAATTATTCTTGGGTGTATCATTGCTTTTCTGCAAAATATGAAAAATGACAATTAGGAATTGTGCTCCTGTAGTCCTAAAAGCCAGAGGTACATGCATAGACTGGGGGAATAGCTTGTGAATAAAAAGTTTGGAATGATTTTTGATCACAATTGAAAATATAACATTTACCAGTTAGTCAGCTGACATAATATTAACATGTATAAGCAGCAGTTACATTATGGAAAGCTCTCACATACAGAGAATACAATGAACCATAGTAGATTAAGACTATAGTCCTACGCTTACCTACTTGAAAGTAAATCCCACTGAATCAATAAGATTTACTTCCAAATAAATATGGTCAGGATCACTTTTTCAGAGATTACTTTTAAACCCACATTCATCCATGGTAATACTCCACTGAGATATCAAATGAAAGGCAAGATATGTATCAATACCTACATTGTTAAATTGCCCCCACAGTAATTAAGCTTAACCCCCCACAAACCAACAGATTAGGTGCCTTTGCCTTCTGCTTTTGTATGTAGGGTGCTCAGATTTCAAGCTGGAAATGTTCTCCATCTCCTTGGAAGTTCCCAACAGGAAAGGATGCAGCCTCTACACATTCCATCCTGATCTTCAGCTCACAGTTTTCTACTCCCCACACAGTGTAATTATTCCCCAATTCAATATGCAAGCAGACTGATAGAAGACCATGCAAGAGGCAAGCAGATGTCTTCTGTTAACACAGCCTTCCCCATCTCATGCAACCTCCAGATGTGTTGTCTGCAACTCCTAGTGTGGTCATTCATCATGTGGCAGATGATGATGGAATTGTAGACCTGGCAGGTAAAGAAATGGGGGAGGCTGTTTTAAAGGGAGAACAGCCTGGCAAACACACAGCATTTAAATACACTTTAACTTTTCTTATTTAACATCTCTTTCTACAATTCAATTAAACAGTTGGGGTTCCTAAATGACAGCAATAATCCTCACATTCTGTATTTGTATTGTACTGTTCTGGATTATCTCATATTTTTCTTTTGAGGTGAGTTAGCCAAAACAATAAGCATCTTAAGTCAAGAATTGCCTGAAGAAAGTTTGGTTTTTAAGTATTTGTACCTCAGTTCAAATTTTAACACGCACACATCCCTGCAGTAGATCCAGGAACATCTGAAATCCCCTGCTCAGCTTGCCAACTACTTCTCTGTCCTGTAATAGTTGCATGGCATGCAGAAACCCAGAAAGTATGGTTTTGCTTGAGCTTGAGATAAGTGACAACAAAACCTCAAGGTGTTAAATTCCCTCTTGTTAAAACTAGAGGTGCCACTAAAAGGAGGTTACCCTAATTCGGACAACTCCCAGCCTAGTCTCTCCTATAGTCTATTCTTTCGGACATCTTTCTCCATTCCCTGCAACTGTGTGATCTGCTTTCACCACTGGGCCCTATGTCACGGGCTGGCGTGAACTGCTATTCAGCTGCCCTTCTTGTCATGTCTCCTAGACTCACCCTTTCTGCTGCTGGGATCCTTTGCCCCTCCCTTGCTTTCCCCTAGGATGAGGGCACCCATCGTCTTTCTTACCTGTTCCAGAGCAACAGATGCATGTTCATGAAGGTGATGCTGGAATGGAAACATTTCTTCCATTCTCTGCTGCCCTGGGTAGTCACCTACTGGCTAAGCTGGCCCTCAGCGCAAGGAAGTCCATGTACATATAGAAGTCTATGACTCATATACATTTAGTTAAGCAAACATCACTGAATTATTAATGGCATATATTGCCCCATTGTCCATATTGCATAGAAGCCCTTACTAGCAGGACACTGCTTGGCAACACTCATTTCTACCATTGTCCCTGATAACTTACAGTCTATTTACAAAGTGGTACTAGGACCACTGCAAGGCCCTAAACAGCAATCAAAGGAGAAACCAGATGAAGTGGAGAAGATGTAGTCTACGATGCGTAGCGTCAGGCGTGTCCAGAGTGATGATAAAGCTTCCTGGAGAAGTGCATTAACGAAGACCTCCTTGGTATGATGAATAAGAAATGGGTTGTCTTGTCCCAGGCCTGACGGTGAATGTATTTGCAGTTCTACTATACTGAGGACTTCCGTGGGAAAGTCTGAATTGCAGGGTGAGGGAATACAAAAATGAATGAATACAAAAGGAAAAAAAACATTAAATGAATGGAAATCCTTTGTCATACAATGCTATTCATACAAGGGCCCTATGGAGGGATGGTGGATGCAACGATTACAGAATTTGCTGCCATTAACCATTTTCAAGAGTAAGCTGGGATCTTTTGATGACAGGTTGTCTCTGAGTTATTGTATAAATATATGGAACACAAACATTACCTTTTCTTATGATTGTTGCCCTCTTCACTACACCAGGAGACTGACCCAGAGTGTTGCTGAATTCTTTACAGCTTTATAGTCATGGTAGATGTTCCCACTGTTTGATCACTTTGAAATAGCATTTAAAAATAAATAATATGCTTGCTTACTTTAAGCAAGAGTTCCTAGAAATGATACTCTTATTGCACCACGAATTACTTCATGGAATTTTACAGAGCAACCAGACAATGGCATTCTCTACTCATAGCCCTCTCATATTTTCCTACTGCTTCTTCCATTTTTTCGCAACACAAACAAAATCAGTTGAGGAGTGCGGTCTGGTGCCTTCTAATGCATAGCGCTTGAAACTACCCCACATCTTCCTGACTGGGTTTGCATGACATGACGACACAGCATGGGTTGCTACAGCAATGGTTTTGATGTGCTATGTGAACTCTCACAGATCCCTCCAGGGTGGTTTGTTTGAGGACAAGTCACCCTGACAACCCATAGTGTGATCTTGGGGTGATTGTACCAAGAATGGGTTGCATGTCATCCAAACCTGGGTGACCAACCTCATTGTACTAAGAATTTACTCATTTGGCAAAAAGCAGCCAAAAACCAAAACAACACACCCACACACGCCTCCCTTGTCCCATGCCCATGCACCTCACATTACCAACTGCCCCACAAGTGCCCCAGTGGCACTTGGGAACAACTGGTATTGCTTTGCTCCCTGCCTCCAACACACAAATATGTTGGAGTGTCAGCTCACTGCAGCTTCCCCCCACCCTTTTTGTGGCAGAGAAGAAATCACAGATGTTCAACAGCTGGCTTCCACCATCCCTCTTCTGACAGTCACTGAGAGCCCCTTCAGAGTTCCAAAGTGGCTCCGTGGAGGGGTTGTCAGTAGCTGGCAGGGACTTTTTTCTTTTACACATTTTTGAGAAGCAGGTTGGGGGTTGCTTGTTGTTTTTAGTTGCACTTGCAGAACTGCAGAAGTTGGCAGTTGTGTAACTACAGGGATTGGAAGTCTTGGCTGGGGCAATGTCGTGTGGGTACTTGGTGCCAAAGTGCAGCAGGCAGCAGCCCTGGATATTGCCCAGAGAGACTCCAAATATTTTTGCCCCCTTTTGGTTTCTCTTGACAAATCTCACAAGGCAATGCGACAAGAGAAACCAAATGCATGAGTACTCTTTGTTTGCAAAAAGAAGCTGATGTGATTTACACTTCCTCTATTTTAAAGCTCTCCACTTCCCACCCCTGCTTTGGGCCTACTAGTCCATTGACTAGCACATGCTTTGCATTTTTTCCTAGGAATCTAGGTACTTGGGAAGTGCAAAAGTGCTTGGGGAAAGGATTTTTTAAAAGGAAAAATAAGCCACTAAGAGACAAAAACAGCTTGTAATCACAGTGAGGAGGGGAGAGGCAAGTTGATCCGGCCAGTGGAGATAGGAGAGGGAGTCAGCTACGCATGGTGAGCCCAATCATCTGTCAGGCACACCATGGACTGTTTGCACAACTAACCCACCATGGCTTATTGCCAGGGTGGACTGTCATGGTGTGTAACATGCCTGCTTGCATTCAGTAAGGTTGGCAACTAAATGTGAATACATTTCCAGGCACAGAATGTTTGAAATAAACAACCAGATCGGCTTTCACCAATAGGGTGCTCTCCAGGTATGGTAATGACAATGCTCAGTCAGCTCAGAGATCAGCCAGGCTGGCTGGAGATGATGGCAGTTTTTGTCCAACACATCTGGAGTGTTAGGCTGAGGAAGACTGGGCTGCATAATAGAACCAGGACCCATCCTGTGCTACGATGCATTCCTCAAACTGAGGTTTTGCAGATTTCACCTGATTGGAATGTTCATTATTTTTATGCAGTCAGTTACCTGGCAAAATGGGCAAGTTGACTTTAACTGAGTAAGTGCTTGCACATGTATCTTTGCTTGCACTGCACCTTTCACATCTAGATGGACTTGGTCCTGAGGTGTTGCATTACAGCCTGTAACCACCCATTGCAGGATACTGAGACGAACACTTTCATAAAAATGGACAGGCAGGATTTTGCCACTGTTGTATCAAAAGGTATAAAAGGTGTCTAGCAGAACAGGGGTGAGGAACCTGTGGTTCTCCAGTTGTTTGGCTCCAACCCCTCATAAGTCATACCCATCATGGTCCATGGGCAGAGATGCTGGGAACTGTCATCTAACAGTATCTGGAGGGCCAGTTTCCAAATTCCTGTACTAGCCAGAACCTACAGAATCCTTATGATATCATCTGCATGCTTACATCCAACCATCATTTAAAGCAACTGGAACATACCTGGCTGCAGCTGCTGTGCTCATAGAGTACTCTCCATTCTGCCCTTTATACTTGGCATCACTGGCAGAATTATTATAAGTCACCATTTTCCCAGGTAGCTCCAGGGATACCCTTCTGCCCTGTGCACTGTTGGGAACATTCCTGTGAGCAGAGTTGACTCGGCGCATCCCTTCCATAGCCTGGGTATTGAATGCCATTGTGTTGGGGCCATATGAACTGGGTGTGCTCATACTGCGAGAGGACATGGCTGCCCTGCCATATGATCCCTCGGTTTCTGTCACATAGAGACGCTTCTTTATCAAAGGACGACTGCTGGAATAGCAACTGAGGTAGCTAGGAGAGTAGCTTCCACCTGAGTAATGGTGACTGTATCCATCAGGCCTTGTGTTGTTTTCCAGAGATGAATTCAAAGCCAGGGAATAACTGTTGCTATAGCTTGAGGGAATGAAATTAGGTTTCCTATCTGAGCCCTGAAAATTGTATGGAGCATTAGCAGCTTTGTGATTCTCTTCCAACTTTGAAGAGCCATCTGGAAGCCCCTTGGCACCATTGCTGAACTCTGGTGGTGGAGGAATGATCTCATAATCAAAATCACCTTCCAGCTCATCATTATTGGGCACAGTGTGGTTTTCAGGTGCAGTTTGAGAGTGTAAGGGTGTTTTTGGCACACTGTGAGATCCTTGCTGTTTCAGGCGGCTGGATTCCAGGAGGCCTTGAACTAAAATGGAAGGACCATGCCTGTTTGACGAGGCCAGATTCTGAGATTCCTGGAGTTTTGAAGCATTCCCACACTGTTCTGAGGCACTGGAGAATGTATGTGGCTTATGGTCCCCCTGCCCTATATCTGCCAAGCCTGAGACATTGCTATTGAATGCACTTGCTCCATTATGCGGCTTTCTTCCTGCTACAGATTCCTTTTGAGGAGACTTGGGTATAACCGTGACAGAATTGGGCTTGGAATCACTGAAGTAAATGGCAGACAAGCCTGTCTCTGATTGGCTGTTATTGTGCAGCTTTTCTGATAACTTGAGCAGAGGTTTCTCTGATAAGCAGCTGTTCTGCCTGGAGGCCTGAGCAGAAACCCTTCCTCTTTGGGCCCGCTGTTGTGCAGCCAGGAGAAGAGCCATTGGGGAACCTTTCTCCACCTTCTCTCCTGTAACTGGATGAATCAAAATGTCACTGTTCCCTTTCTCTGACAGGGGGGATGTCACTGAGGACACATGCTCAGCAGAGTCTCTTCGGTTTTCATTATTATTTGTGCTGACCGGTCCATCTTCTGCAGTTTGGGAAGAAGCTGCAGAGGCCAGACTATCAACAGAGCCAAACCTTGTCCGATGTGTCTTGTATTGCAGGAGAGAAAAATCCATGCTGGGGGATGCAGTTCGTGCAGGCGAGGCAGGCCCAGAAGAGGCTGGTGAAGGTGCACTTGGAACCAAGAGTTCATTCTTTGGCTTCAGGGGAGAGGGTGGAGGTTTATAAGCTTTATCACAAGGCAGGTGATCAGAAGAGACACTGGGTGTCTTAGGTGCTCTTTCTGTAACTTCCAGTGTTGGGTTATTCTGATTTCCTGTGGGTTTTTGAAGCTTGGACTCACCACCATTGATATGGCTGCCACCAAACTGAAGAGTAATTTGCTTCTTTGGTTCTGGATTATGTCTCAGGTTTGCAAGAGCCAAAGGTGGGCCTCCATCCTTTGATGGAGACAGCAAAGCTTCCAATTCATCTTTGAATTTCAAAACACAGTTAGCTTGAATGGGACTGACCTTATTGTTGGGTATGGAGACAACATCATTGGTGGGGTCTTTGTTTGGAGAAGGTGTGTTAGAAGGTATCTTTTCTTTCTTTTCATTCTTTGTCCCTGCTGTTGGCTGTGGACTTCTCAAGACAGACTTAGTTTGCTTTGATTCATCTGTAGTAGCCTGGTTGCTATCCATAATATTGGTCTTAGTCTTTGGAAGGACAGTTCTGTCTAGCTGCCTATCTTCCTTTCTGCACGAAGAGGACAACAGGGCTGACAGCTCATGTTTCAGTTTGTCTAAATTGGCACGTTCCTTCCAATTGTCATTGTCACTGCCATCATCACCATCATCATGATCATCATCATCAGCATCACCATCATCATTAGAGGATGCACAATCTGGAGAAGGAAGTTCTGTTTTTCCTGTGTTAGTACCTGATGTTAGCTTTGTACTTTCAGACTCTGTTATAAATATGGAAGGCTTTTCCAGTGTAGCTTTACTCCTATCATCTCCTTCTGAGTCAACCATGGCTGCAGACCGTACAGTAAAGTTAGCTGGCAGGGGCGGTCGGCTGTGAGGAATCATTTTAGGGAGCTGCTCATCTTTTGGCTTGGATTCTTTTTCTCCTGAGGAAATAGATGATGTTCTCACAGGAGTTGGAGGTGGTATTTTTAATGACCTGGGAAAGGTGAGATGAGGATCTGGGTTGTGTTGTGGTACCTGTGACACCTTCTGGGTTGGGGTTGTTGGGGAGACATGATTCAGATTATGAGGGGTGCTATCTGGTTGTCTCAGATTCAGAACCGTCTCAGATTTCCATTTGGACACACCATTTGAGAAGGGTGGAGTGTGAAGTTGTGGTGAAAGTGGAGACCTGGGAGAAGCTGTAGCATCCATAAAAACCAGAGGAGGAGTAGGAGGAATGAAGTCTGGTGGGGATGGAGTACTGGGGGAAGACAAATTAGAAGATGGATATGAAGGTGAAGCCAGAGATGGAGCTGGCATTGGTGGTGGAGGAGGCACCATTGGTGGAGGAGGTGGAGCTTCCATAGAAGGTGGAGGTGGAGCTCCCATGGAAGGTAGAGGTGGAGGTCCCATGGAAGGTGGAGGTGGAGGTCCCATGGAAGGTGGAGGTGGAGCTCCCATGGAAGGTGGAGGTGGAGCTTCCATGGAAGGTGGAGGTGGTGCTAGGTCAAGTGAAGGTGGTGGTGGAGGAGGAGGAATCGATGGTGGTGGTGGAATGTAATCATCAAAGTAGTTTTGCTCAAATGTTTTTGGCCTCAGATCAACTTCTGAACTGTACTGTCTATAATTGCCATTGATTTGGGAACCAAGTCCTAGGGAAAAGCAGTACATACAAAGGGTTCAGATTTCTTGTCATTTAAGATAGAAAACATCAACAGTAGCACAGGTCAACATTTTCTCTTAGACACTGAAGAGAGGTATTTTTATACAAATTTGGGTGAGGAGTCCACAAAAATAGTCCACTGTTCTACCAACAGGAGAAAGATTATAACCTCCACCCATGAAACCCATATTAGTATGATATTTTCATTGAGTGAAATAACATGCAAGCATTTGAGATCTCCAGAACTGCTCATCAGGTAAGATAGTATAAAAAGTAGTTGTCAGGGAGAGTTTAAAAAATGACTAATTGGTGAAGTCAGCACCTACACTTTCAGAACCCCAAGATGAAAGCGCAGGGGAGGGGGGTCTGCTGTCATTCCAATTAGCTTCTGTGGGTTATATATGGCTACCAGTTAGACCAGCAGCTACAGCTAAGGACTGCAGGGAGAAAGAAAGAAAGAAATGTTGGATCTCCTATTTTTTTTAAATGTAGGACAGCTTGCAGGTTGACGCTAGTGTTGATGTAAATTACATTGCAACAACATAAGCAACTTTTCATGCAATGCCAGTTGCACTGGTTGACACAACAGGTTTTACCAGAACACATCATTTATGTTACCATGAGGGCCAGCTTGGACACTGCCACAGAATCAAGCCATTCTCAACAGTACAAATCACAGTACAAATCAACAGGGCAAATCACATGGGCTTCTTTTGCCAGTGGACCACAGAGTGAAATTAGGCATGAGATCATATTAGATTCTAATTTAGGGCTGTTGTTGTTTAAGCAATTGAGGTCACCTTAGATAGCTTTACCTAGTGGAGTGCTGGCACTTCACAACTACCACCTGTAGAACCACACAATGGCAACAGCTGCCTGGAGCAAAGCAGTTTTGTGTTGATAAACACAGGTGGACAAAGGGTTAAGCCCTTCATCCTCCCCTCCTTTCCTATGCTTTAAGTGTCCTTCAACCTACCACTGCGCACATGTTCAGTGGACACTAACTCATACAGTTAGGTTTGTCACTGTAATAATATTTATTCTGGCCCTTCTGTAATTAACAGCAAATCTCAGTGAGAATAGCATGCTTTTTCCCAGTAGTTATTTTGTGAAACCACAGACAGCCACCCCACTTAGTTAGTGCCCAGGAAATGTTCCTCCCATTGGAGAAACATACCGGAGTCTGCAAGTCTGGTAATCCTATCAAGAGTCACTATCAGAGGAGGAGGACAAACAAGATTAATTTGCTTTCCAGCTTCCCAGTGAATGAGGGGCTGTAGCAAACAAGTCTTACTTATTAACAGGGAAGTAACTAAATATTTTTTTAAAAAAATGTCTGATAATTGCCATGGTGGCCTCACTGCAGAAACTAGCTGAACGTGCTTTTGAAGAGGTTGATTCAGCTTTAATGATCTTTGTCCATAACCCTGTGCCAAGCCTTTCTGTTAGCACTGTTAAACATTTTGAATTCATAGTGAATTTTAGAAGGGTTTCACGTAGGACAGCCAGAAAATGGGACAGCACAAATAAGAAAACTAATGATTAAAAGCTGAATATTTTAAAATCAGTGTAAACATTCACAAACAATCCTAATAACAATATCAGAGTGCTAAAGAATAATTGGATTACACATTAAAAGTGTTCATTGTTAGCTAGATATCTTCAGAACCAAACATGTGGCCATTTTGGACTTATGGATGCTATAGAAATTAAATAAATGATATGATTAGGACAGTCTTCTTCAACTTGCTGTCCCCAAGATGTATTTGAATTACAGTGCCCATCATCCCCAGACAGCAGGGCAAATGCCAGTGGTAAATTAAATGCAAAGGTGCATAATATATGTTATGCCAGTGGTTGATTGAACATGGTGGCACGGTGATTATTGGTGCAGCAAATTTAGACTCTGAACTATGCATTCTTGTGCAGTGGCAATGTGTTTTACTTGCTATTAAACCAGCCCTGCTGCATTGCAGAGTAGCAAAGGCAGCTATTTATTCTGCTGAATGTGGCCCTGGCCCTTTTCCCCAAAGTTGTGCTTTAAATGAACTATCTGCACTGCAGATGAGTAAAATCATTTACATGATCACCCAGTCACTACTAGCACTGTTTCAGGAATGGTGCTGTTCGACTGTCTTTTGCTATGTAGTCCTACTTTAAACAAGCATGTAGGATTGTTCATCTCATATTTGTGCTGAAGCAGCTAAAGATGCTGCCTTATAGCTCAGTAGTGAAGTCTGTTTAGCCTTTAAATAAATGTCCAAGATGGAGCAAACTTAACCACAAAATATGCAATTGCACTGGTTTTACAACAATGATATACTGATGTTGAAATAGGTATATCATACTTAGGTACGAGATAAGGGCTCTACTGAATGTTTTGCACGTCTACAGAGTGACCTTGTTACAAACTCATCTTACCCAGAGATGGGTTGTCCTCAAACCCTTCAGGCACTGATGGTGTCGGGACAGCCACTCCATGTGCCTCTTGAGCATTCTGAAAAGGTTTGAAAAGTAGACTTTAAGATCATGAATGACAAGTGGTAGACATCAGAAATATTCAGAAAAAAAGTACAAGCAGAAGATGTCAAGTTTCAGTTGCTAAGCCAATCAGAATTATATTTTTAAATATATATCAAATCTTGAACATTGTGAAGAACCCCACCTTGTGAGGTAGATGACATTCTCAGGCTTTTGATGTTGTATTATTTATTTGGCATGTGTTCTTTATTGAATGTTTGCCTAGAATACTTGTAAATTGCTTACTGGTATATCAAGAAGTGTTATTCTCTAATAAACGTTGGCAATGTGGGATGGCAGAAGCCTTATTAGTGCACATGGTATGGAAATGCTCAGTGGTGGCTCCCTTCTGGGCAGAAATTTTAGACACATCAAATTCATTGAAATACATCCTTCATGTTTAAAGAAGTCAATGTACGGCTGAATGACATTCCCACATCCTGGAAGCAATTATCTGGCCACCGCAAGTGGACTATGCAAGCCCTCGTGGTGGCTAAGAGACTCATAGAATGGGGTCAAAAGACAAATCACCTTCATCAACCATGGACTGAAGACCTCACAACACTGACATCCTATGAAAGAATAGATTATCGATGACTTTCTCATCACAGAGTCTTCACACTTTGATTTAATGCACAGATTTAGACATTTAATGCACAGATTACAGGACTCTGTGCCCTCCTTAGGCAACATAGAGGGCAACACCTTCTCCGGTACACCCTTCCTAGGCTTTCCGATACAAATTATATCCAGACATGACAGTATCCCATTGGTTATCTCCTCTGTACCAGGTTTCTGTAATGCCTGCTATATCTAGCTTCTCCGCTATTACGGGGTACTTCAGCTCTCCCATTTTGGCCCTAGGGCTTCTAGTATTTGCATAGAAAGACCTAAGCCCCATCAGGCTATTCAGTGGCATATAAATTTAAAAAAGCACAGTGTCCCCTTCCAGCCACATGCACCTATTGTACTGGCACTTCATCATCTCCAACTGGCTTTTGTGGTGTGTGTGTTAGCGTGCATGTGTGTTGGTGGGGGAACTTTCTAAAGCAGGGGTGTCAAACTCGCGGCCCGCGGGCCAATTGCTGGGACAGGTGGGGCCCGGGAGAGGGGTCCTGCGGCCTTCAAAGCGCCGGCGGCACCCGGGCAGGCGGCAGGATGAGCGGCCCACCACCACCACGGGGGTGGAGTACTTGATGCGGCCCAGCCTCACCCTGACTTTACTTCCAGCGGCCCCCAGGTAAGTTGAGTTTGAGACCCCTGTTCTAAAGCATGTGATATGGCATGCTAAGATGCTGCTTAGAGCAGAAAACCTGGGCTTGTCCAGGTCCTTGGGAACATCTGAAGCAGCTCTTTGGGTCTTGAACCACATTATTCCCAGGAGCACTGCTGTGAATTCTGTCCTCAGAGGACCTGCCTTTTTATATTGTTATACAGTGGGTTGCCTAATAAGACAAAAACCACTGAAAAGATTCCTTTTTACCTACTGATGCTTTGCAGGGCTCAAAGCTGTTTTTACAGTTTGTTTTTTTGCCAGCACTTCCTCCTCCTCACTAAAGGCTGGTAACGTAAATTCATTATTAATAGTAATAAACATAATAATATAGTATTGATAATAGTAATAGCATTAGTCTTATGATAATAGTATGGGCAATTATTAGAGGAGGTAAGTATATTTATTCTGTAGGAGAGGCAATTAAGACAATTAAGAGGCAGCATAATCAAGAGCGATCTTGAACAGAATGGCATGCATTAAGCAGCAGGTTTGTTTTCTGTTGTTTTAGGGAACAGGACCTGAAGCAATTGGTTAGAAGTATAAGAAAGATGATTTCAGCTAAACATTAGGAATAACTTCCTTATCGACCAAGTCATTCAACAGTGTAACAATCTGTCTAAGGAAGGTGGTAGATTCCTTTGTTAGAGCTTTTTAAGCAGAGAGATATGGCCATGAATCAGGGATCTTCTGCATTGGCTGGCTGGGTGAGGTCTTCTAGAAGATATTTGAGATCCTTTCTGTGACTGTGCAGTACACCTGTGGCTTAGCCCAAGGCCTCAGATGCCTCGATTTCATGCTTGTCAAAGCAATTCCAAGTTATTTTTGATGCCCAGTTTCTCCTATTTGCCTAGATCTAGTTTGTATTTCATTGTGAAGCAGTCTTTGCAGCCCAGGATGCTGAACAAGGGCTTCTGCTGTAATTTAGTCTCAAAGGAAAGAACTCAGCTTGCCTTGACTTACTGTTGAGATCATTCCACAAAAAGACCTTTAATATTCCTGCTGCTGCCCTCTGAACATACTTTAATGCATCTAAATTATAGGGACATCGTTGCCAGAAGTCAAGCTCATGCTTCCTACTTCCTGGGATAGGAGTTTATTTAACAACACTGAGTTTCTGCCTCACCCAAGTTCAGCCGATCCACATCAGAGCTGAACACTTCATAGTCATAATTCAAATATTTTGCCATGCTTCACTACTAACTGTGGGGCATCATATGCCATCATTTCTGTAAATATGAAATCTAATTACATGAGCCTTGTTTTATTATTTGCATACTGCTTAGACTGATACACTGGGTTGATTAAATGAATCACTCTGAGGTGCAAACATCATTTTGCTGACCTTTCAGTGTCCCTCCCCTATTCAGTATGCTTAGACAAAGTAGCTTCCACTGCCCCAGGTTCAACACTTGCATTAAAGAAAACATTTCTGTCTCCAGCTCTAGAAACATGGTCCATTTTTTTGCTTCTATCAGCACTTGCACATACAGCTGGGAATGGGAAGTATATATGCAAAATGCCAACTCTGAAAACTCTGAGATTCATCAGGGACCCCACTGGGAAAATTTTGCTTAATAAACAGAGATGAACAGAACTTTTGCCAACACATGCAGCCAGACAGCGAGGGCGGGCCCACGTGGGCAACGCTCAGGGTCCCAGAATCCAGGGGACCATCAAAGGACCACCCCAGGAATGGCAGGTGACAAGAGCTGCAGAAGCTAACTCCATTTCATTCTTGCATTCATGACACTGATATGACTTAAGTGAGGTTAAAGTACAAAACTGCATTCCATTTCATTTTATTTTAATCAAGCTTAGGAGACTTTTTTGTTCCAACCTATCAGGACTATTGATGTGGTTGCAGAGGATCAATAGCAGTTTGTGGTAAAATGTTAGGTGTGTGTTTCACAATTGAAATAATGCATACTGTCATCTAATGGGGATCCTTATAAAACCATTAGGTTCTCGGTCTAAAAGTACCTATCTATACCTCTAAACATACAGCCCCTATTCTCCCCCACCTCTTTATATCACAAACAATAAACCAAGAACCCCTTAATTAATTTTCTATGGTTACCAGTTTTGGAACAAGCCAGGATCTTAAACCACTGTTTAACGATAGGAAACAGGAACCCATGGTTAATTAGAGACTCTTTTGATTTAAAGACAGCTCTGGGAAAAGAGGTAGGGAAGAAGCTGTGTGTGTGGTTCATTGCCACAGAAAACCAGTCTTACACACTGTACCCTGCTTCCTTGACAGCCATCTCAATTGGAGAGGGACCAAGAGATGAAAGCAAACTTACACATGCAAGTGTGTTGGCTGTTTCAAACGTATGGAGTTTTTCATTGAACGTGCTTTGCTCTGCACCATTTTGCCTGGCACTTCAGGGCAGGAACACTTCACAGTGCTTCAACCAATAACTGGGGAATTGGTGCTTTGCCTCATTTCAATGGTTTTAAGTGCTCTATGAACACACCCTTTGCTAATGATTAAGCCAGAGCCCTGCACGTTTTACTGAGCACTTATCATCTGCTAGAGAGACTGCAGCAACAGGTCAAATTCTTCAAAACTTAATGGAATGCATGCCATTGAGTACAACTTAGGACAAAATGACAAAAGGGACTTAAACCACCACCTGTTCGGATGGACCAAGAAACTAGCCTGACTCTGGTCCTGCGTCCTGCTTCGGTTGGCTAAACAGCTGAATAATTACTCAAAGAGCTGTATGTTAAAAGGAATGGCAAAAGATCCTGAACGCAGGAAACATTTCCTTTTAATGTGTATTGCATATAATCTTACAAAGGACATGGGAGCAATTTGAAAACACTTACTAATCTCATAATAAAACTCTAGTGGATTCTGCTCAGGGACGCAGGAATGTGCACGTAAAGTCACAGTCTGATTCTCTCCTTCATTAATCCTAAAATCATCCCTTCCTCCGAACCTTCAAGACCAATTCCATCCTTGTACTGGCTCACTACATGTCCAGTGCCTGGCTGTCTGTATTGCTTTGAGCCACATCCTCACCCTCCAAATTCTTTGGTTCATGATAATCTTCTGCTGCTAGTTTTTAAATTTTGTATTTAATTGCTATTATCACTTAATATCCAAAGTTCTCCAGGAGGTTCAGTTACTTTCTTGCAGCTCCAGACACTCATTTTCCATGTAAATGTGTCTATGGAGGTCAGGTTCACCAAATCGGAGCCCCTCACACTGGTTATCCAAATGGTCTGCTGATCTCCATGCAGCCATTATTGCATTCTTAAACCTCAGAGCTCGGCAGAATCAACATGGCAGGTCACACCATTCAAAGCAAGGAATGTAGTACCACAGCCATGCCCTAGTCAGTGCCTTAACTCACTTCAGAGTTAGTATGAGCATGAACAGAGAAAGCTGTCCTCTGGATGCAGCCTTAGACAATGCAAGGCCATTTTTCTTCCTTTAATCTCTTCTCTGAAATGCTGCTTGGTTTTTGAATAGCAGTGATCTGCATTTGAATTAGCACTTGGATCACTTTTGCTGTAAATTATTGTTCTGTTTGGGGAATGTTGCTTTACACATGCAGTTAAGCAAGTTTCCATTTTCAGGAATCTAGAATTCTAGAAACATTGTAGAGTTATTTGGGTTAAGCACAGATATTTTATTTTTATTTATTTTATGCTTTTGTAGATCATCACAATAGTCACATGGTTCTCTGGAT